TGCTGAGCAGATCTTTGTTCGGCTGAAAGAACATCTTTTAGATAAACAATTAATAAACATAAAACCAGAAAGAAGAACTGAAGCCTCTTCTCGTCCTTCGATACGCGGGCTGCCCCAAGGCCACCCCGGGCCTTCCAGGCCCCTCAAACAGCCGAGATAAACCAGACATTTGGCGTTCCCTGGGCGGACAGAGACCACCACAACCTTTCGGGGAGAACAGCCCGGACATGGTCCTGGGTTGTTCTCAACTGGCCCTATCACAAGCCTATTGAAACAGTGAGTATGTGTACGTGCAAAACAATCACCAAGAAAACCCAATTAGGTTGTTAAAATTCTAAATAATTTCTGTAAGAAGTTTGCAGTAGAAAACCAGCTGTTATTTCTCTGTAATAAGAAAAATGTGCAATAAAAATATTACTTTTTCTCCTCCTGCATCTCAAATGAGCGCTTCTTAATTTCAGTGTTTGATGAATGACTTTTGTTTCCCCTCCTAGCAATCTGACTTTCTTGATCCGTGTTCCTAAAGATCAGTTGTGCAGGACATACAGGTGTTAGCACAGCTGGCTTGCTGATGACAACCCTGTCCATATAGCTGTCTAGTGTGTCATCACTCATATTGTTCAGTGTCATTCTGACCTAGCCAAGCTAAAAATGGTACTCCAGCTCAAGAGGGATTTAAAATCCTTCACAAAGTAAAGATAAGACATTACCGAATGTCATATCCATGTGCTTAACTGTTTTCAGTTTGGATGTATCTAAGTAACTAATTTCAGGATATATTTGTTTCTATATTTTGGTTTTCTTTGTTGGTTTTAAGGTGATTTTTTGATTTTATTTTGGGTAGATTGTTTGTTTGGTTTTGTTTTTTTTTTTGTTGGTGGAGGTGGGGTTTTTTGGTTTTTTGTTTGTTTGTTTTGGGTTTTTTTAAAGGCTGAATACTTATATATAATTTGCCTTCAGTAAAGAGAAATCCTTGTTTTGAGAACTGTGGAATTATTGACTACATTAACAGTTATTTTCTCCTGACATAGGTTCATTTTCAGCCCAAGGTCACTGAAACCTTTTCATAGGGGATGTATTGTAGTGCACATCTTGCAGCTATAGAGAAGCTTAGGTGCTGTGGTCAACATTTGCAAAAAACCAAGTGTGGATCAAATTAATATCTTATTCAACTGACCATGCAGTGTGTGTATGTAGTAATATCAGAAAGCTTGAATTAATCTGATAGGTAAGTCTGGGATGGTAGTCTGCTCTGCAAATTAATTGCCATAATCTTGACTAGTCCTGAAGGGAGGAAAAAAAAAGTTAAAAAAAAAAAAAAAGCACACCCAAAACATCAATTTTATGAGATATATCTCCTTTACACAAACACTCTTATTCAGTAATTAATGCTCTCTTAGAAAGCACCTGTGAAATGGCTTGTTTTGTAATTAAATACAAATTTGTATAGCAGTAATCAGAAAGCATAGTCACTGAATCAGTATGCTAATACAGAGATTTTCAGTAGTTCTGTAGTTATTGTATTGAGGTAAATATTGGGTATAACTAATTGCAATAATGTATGGCCACTTACACTAAGGTATATCAAAATCTGTTTCAACCTCCACTATCAACAGAAGTGGACTTGAGGACATATTTGTTTTGATGAATGCATGTGCAATGATCTGATGGCTTTTAATGATGACTCAAACCTAACTGTGATGTAACAAGTATCCATTAAACTGTTTCCCTTTCTGTCCTATAAGACACTCTTTTCTGAGCAAAATATGTTGTGATTTGGTGTAGTTTGGTTTTTATCCCTCTCTGGGAAAAAAAAAATAAAGGTTTGATGCAGTGTTTTTGCAGTTCAATTGACAAATTTGGTTCCAAATACCATCCCGCACCTCATTGTCTCTCTAATTGTGTCTATAATTTCCCAGTTTTTAGGTGCTTGATTTAAAGTGCCTTCAGTTTAAGATACGCAGTCTTGTCACAGACTTGTCACAGGCAATCTTTTGACTTCTGGAGTGATCCTTGGTTGCTGAAACATCCTGATGGAAAATATTGTATCTGAAATTATATAGGCCCTCATTCAATAAGATGAATATACACTTTTTGTAGTAATTTCCTTATTTTCAGAGCAGGCTCAGACTGGTATCAACAGCAACCAATATTAACAGATTTACTCTATGATCTGACAGGGTGCTGTGGGAGGTACTTGTTTGGATATTACTTGTGCCAAATCCTGCAGCAAATAATTTGGGGTCTGTATTCCATTAAATGGATCACACTTCGATTGATCACTTTTTTAGGTTTTCTAGAGAGCCCCAAGTATTAGAATGTATCCTGAGGAAAATAATCTGTATCAGCAACTTACTTGAAGAACTACTGTTACCAAGACTATTCAGTATTATTGTTGGGGGAACTTCTTCCTGTATATTAATTTGTATTTTTAATATGGAGTAAGAAAACGTTAGCAATTCATATTAAATGTGAAAAAAATAAGAAGTGTTCATGAAGGTTTAATTCTATCCAACAATGTATAAAATATTATTTTTCTTAGTTCTATAATCATTTGTATAACACTATAACAAAGACTTGCCCATTCAAAGCAGTTACTATGTAACTTATTTCTGTTAAAATGCTTCCCTTGGCAAAGGACTGTGTCCGGTATGTGTGCATGTTTAAAACCTGTGTAATATGGCCCCCACTCAACG